TACTGCCCTATGGGGCAGCCCTTATGTACCCTATTAACTAGGAAGTTATTTTATAGATGAGGGAGATTAGCTTTGTATTACTGCTACGTTTAGGCTGTTAGATCACTTAGTAGAGATCATTCTGCCAGTTCAACTTACTAAGTGAAGGGAAGATTTTTTTTGGCTGCTGGACTGAAGAGGTATTGTTCAGGCATACATAACGTGTTAGCTTGAATAGTCTTGTCATAACAAGCTCTTTAAAAACTCTCCTTGTCCTGCAAACTAATTAATTTCTCACCCGTTTGCCTGCAAGGCCTAGATTTACAAAGGAATTTAGGCATGTTTCTTTTTTTAGGAGGAACTTAAATTTACATGCCCACCAGAACAGTTTATAAAGCTGCTTCTCTCAAGCTAATTAGATACCACAGTTTTCATGCTGGTTTGCTCAGACACTTAAATTTCTGCTGCTGCTGCTTTCTTCTGCTTCATAGAGAAGTGTGCCTAAATTGGACCGATCAGCACTTGCTGAAGGTAACTTGGGGTTTACCAGTTTGACAGTCTCATGCCATACTTAAGTCTTTGCCTTTTAAAGGGTTTGATCTAAGAAAAATTAGATAAAGTTTTAAAGCGCAGTCATAGAATCACAGAATGGTTTGGGTTGGAAGGGACCTCACAGCCCATCCAGTGCCACCCCCTGCCATGGGCAGGGACACCCTCCACTAGCCCAGCTTGCCCAAAGCCCCATCCAACCTGGCCTTCAACACTGCCAGGGAGCCAGGGGCAGCCACAGCTTCTCGGGGCAACCTGTGCCAGGGCCTCAGCACCCTCACAGGGAAGGATTTCTGCCTCCCATCTCATCTCCATCTCCCCTCCTGCAGCTTCAGGCCATTCCCCTTGGCCTGTCACTCCCTGCCCTTGTCACCAGCCCCTCTCCAGCTTTCCTGGAGCCCCTGCAGGGACTGGAAGGGGCTCTAAGGTCTCCCCGCAGCCTTCTCTTCTCCAGGCTGAACAAGCCCAACTCTCTCAGCCTGTCTTCATAGCAGACGTGCTCCAGCCCTTTGATCCAGCACAACAAATATGAGGAGCAGATATTACTCATTCAGATGGTGAAAAGGCCTTGCCTTGGGTTTGATCTCTCCAAGAATTACTTGTGTTTTGCACAGTGGTGTGCCTCTGCAGCTTCAGGAGCTAGGATTAAACCTAGGACTGCTTTCTGCTCATCCTTCCCTACATGTCATCCTCATGTGAGATGTCTCTTGTGAGATCTTGAACCTTGTGCTGCAAGGTGATGTATTCAACAGGAGGACCCACTCCAAACCTGTCTGTAGGCTGGTGTTCAGGCCGCTGTGTGTGTGTGACTTGTCTGGACCGTCTTCAGACTGCTTGTACTTCAGGCAGGAGCTTTTACACTAAAACATTGTGTAAGGAGTAGATATCCTTGAGATTGTTTTGAGAAACACTCGTCTGTACTTAAATCCACCAGGTACAGCTTGAAATTCTTCCTGGATTAGATTTTAATCTCTTAAATGTGTATCCCAGAGCTGTGGATGATTCAATAAAATCCAGAGAAATGGCAGAATTTCCTGTAAGGCCTTCTTGTCATTGTGCCTAGATCAGGAGATAGAAAGCCCTCACTGCTGTACGTGGTGTTGCAGATCCGATGCTTTGGCATCATACCCTTCCCTCTGCAAAGGATACTCTACAGAACAACTAACGTGATGTACCTATGCATCTGCCATCTGCTATAGATGGGGGAGGAAACGTGAAGAAGTTTCTTAGCTAAGATTTAAGATAAACAGAATCTAATTAATTAAGTAATACCAAGTGTTCATTTACTTTTTCTGATAGCCCTAAGCTGGGGGAAGAGGAAGGGAAAACAGACTATCCCCAATAATCCTGTAGTGTATGTTGCCTAAGTAAAGTTCACAAGTGGTGTGCCTCAAGATTCTTGTGTTTGTTGTATTACATCATTTTAAAAATAAATGGTTGTTTGCATAGGGGTTGGTTGAAGTATTTTAAAGTGTCTGGTCAGTAAGGGACTTGAGGGCTAGTTTCCAAGACCACATATACAGCATTTCTGAGCATCTGTGGCACACACTGCTTTCTGGTTTGTCACTTCTGATAAGAATGCTCCAAACCTTTGCAAACAAAGCTGCAAATGCTATACAGAGTTTGCATTAAAAAGGTCTGAAACAGCAGTTGAAATCTAGGAAGAAAGTTGATGGTTTTGCCGCTAGCTGCGTGTGTGATGCTTATCTCTCCACTTCATTGTCCACAACTGTAAATTCTGAAAAGCAACTTTTCATTAAGGTAATTAGAGGGTTTTGTGGAAGAGAAGGAAGCCCTACACGTGTATCAAGGGGCAGCCTGGGAGGAGGTAAGATGGGCGAGGAAAATGAAGAGCAGTAGTACTCCACACTGCCATCCTGTAGGGTTGCTTATTTTTCACAGAGGGACTTTTTGCAATATAGCTTATCCTATTTACAAAGGGGATTAAAAAAAAAAGAAAAATAATATGTAAAAGGATCCACACTAGGGACTACTTGTGACTGCTATCCCAAGATTTTCCCCTGCAAAACAGGTCCCAAAATGTATCTGGCCTTGAGGGGAAGGAGTTTCTTTTAAATGGAGTTAATGAAGGAGACTCATAGTGACAGCAGTTGAATCTTGGAGTTATATATTCAGCAGATCAGTAGTAGCTATATATATTTTTTTTTTCATTTGGAAGGAAAATTAACCCATTGCTCAAGTTAACCTACAACATACTATTTGCGTATAGGATGGTGATTATATTTGGATAAGGATTAAGCCGATGAAGGAGAACTCGCATAACATGCCCCAGATGACGTAAAGTGGGTATTCCAAATTACAGACCCTGAGACAGTGTAAGTCATCTGTGGAACTGTATTAAATAGTTAAAAATCAAACTTGTAAATTAAGTTTGATTAGTTCATGTTCCTCGAGAAACCAAGGTTGACGCTTGTCCAAAAAGTTTTGGAATGATTGGCACAGAAAAGCAGAAGATCTGGCAAAAATAATCCTCTGCAAATAGCAAAGTTGGTGTGTTTTTTCTCTTTCGTACAGCTGTCAGGAAAGCCCACTGTTGGAAGAAGTCGCTCTTAGAGGATTCTGCCATTATTACTCACTTTTGAAGAGTTTATGATGGCCCAGTACAGGCCATAAATAGATAAATATATGGTCAACAGTAATAATTCATAAAGTACAGCTTGGTCCTATAAAATGGTGTTAACAGTACGAATTAACATAACGTGGTGGTTTCTTGGGTGATTGACTCTTCAAACCATAGAGCTTTGTAACTGTTCCTACATGATCTTACCGGTTTTCAGTAAAGCTGTCCTCTGGGGTGTCTTCTGTAGTTCATACAGCATTAAACACATTTGGGGTTTTAGCACTTTAGGATACAAGCAGTTGGCCAAACGGAGCCCGGAGTTGTGATAAAATAATTGCATCAGCCTTTGGTTAAACATCTGTATTGCTCGTGAGCATGCCTGACAGCTGTGATTTATCCTTTCCTCTTTTTATAGTGATCGACACCATACATCCAGTGCAATTCCTGTTCCAAAGAGACAGAGCTCTAGCTTCGGCAGATTGGATATTGGCTTTTCCACTGGGCTTCCCTCTCCAGATAAAGGACTCCGAAAACGAGCCAGCACAGGAAACGAAAGACTACAGTACAAAACTCCTCCTCCTAGTTACAACTCTGCTTTAACACAGCCTGTTGCCATCACAGCCCGTGTAGGAGAGTTAGATAAAAAACCTGGATCAATATCTTCCTCCTTGGATACCTCTATGGACTCCTCAAAAGGAAATCCCAAGAAAAGTGAGGACTTGTGCAGCAGTTTAAATGGAGAAAACGGGAGCCTAAACAATACCCAAGACCGGCAGGAGTCTTTTCTACGACATAGTAGTGCAATAAATGGGGCGTTTCTGCCTGGTGAGTGCTCTGGCACTGCAAGCAACGAGCAGCCCTGCGAGTTTCGTCCCTCGCTCGGCCCTGTCCTTTGCTGCACCGTGGAGCAAGCGGAGGAGATCATGGGGATGGAAGCGACAGGGTTCAGCACGGGAGATCAGCTAGAAGACTTTAACTCCATCCCGGTGGAGCACGCCGTGGCAGTGGAGTGTGATGAACAAGTCCTAGGGGAGTTTGAGGAGTTCTCTCGAAGGATCTATGCACTGAATGAAAACATGTCCAGCTTCCGCAGACCGCGTAAAAGTTCGGACAAGTGACCTTGGACAGGGATTTGATAGCAGACATTGAGGTGTAATCAGTGATCTGGAATAGAGATAAAATTGCACTTATTCTTTATATTAATTATAAAAAAAATAAATAAAGCTAAAGCTATTCCTATGGTGTTAGACAAGTGGACTTGAGCACGATAACACAGGATCATGGTATATTCACAGCCCAGGTAAATTTTGATTCTGCTTCCAGTCCTCTTATGTCTGGTATTTATAATCTGTTGGAAGTTTTTTTTAGGCATTGGAATCCATTTATAAAGGCTTTCCTGGAAACAACTTCTAGTGCTGATCAGGCCCTTCTGTGAACACTTGTTAATTTCTTAATTATTATTTAGAGTTAAATTTATTTTAATCTTTTCAGAAGAAGAAAAAAGTTAATTTAAAAGTACATTTATGATAAGATCTCTTTACCTTCTCCCATATACTCCTGTGTTTTCTTGAGCAATGTAGTCAGTGTTACAGAAATACCATGAATTTGTTATAATTGGACAGCTTTATCTTGGCTGTGCTCTGTAGCCTTTGAAGTTCTAGTTTGCACTGATGGGTCTTCAGTTGGTGGTGTAAACTTGCCAGAGAATGAGCACCTGTGCGATATCTGCAGTTTCCTTGCACCTGATTAATCAGAAATGACATTTTTTTCCCCCTCCTTTCTTCCATACTCACTGTTCCTACCTATAGAAGCCTTGAGGACTAAATTGCCTGTAAGGTTTCTTATTAAAAATAATCTCAGCCTGCCCATTCCCCACTTCAGTTGGGCACAGACCTCATCAGTAGAGACCTAAGGAATGCACTGACTAAGTGGGGTTCGGCTGCCACCCTCTGAGGTGTCTGATGGGGACAGTGTGCTGTGAGGCACCACAGATGTCTTCATAAAAACCCAGACTGAAAATGCAGTCAGCACTTTGGAATTAGGTGAATTTGTGGAATCGCTCCACCCTCTGTAGAAAGGAGGCACTTAACATTATTCATCCAAATTAATATCCTTTTAAACATCTATACTTTTAAAGGAAGAAACTTCCAGCGGTTCGCTGTTAGGTAGGTTACCACTGGCATGTGTGTTCAGCTGCACTAATGGGAAAGCAATTTGCAGCCTGCTTTGTGATTCCTGGTATTTGTTTCAGTTTGGATTTCATTGCTCTTGCTTTCTATATTGTATACCCAAGAATTCGGGCTCAGTTGCGAGCTCTCAAATATAAAAAAATATATAGCAGAATAAAAAACACTTCATCATACCTGGCTTTTTTTTCCTCCCTGGTCTATGCTTTCTTTTGAACCAGTGACCTAGTCTTTTTCCGAACTTCACCGTAAGGCTAGCCTAAATTAACTTTTTAAAATGTGGATATGTATAATCTCAGCTATCTGTTGTCAACACAAGACGTGTACGTGACGAACCAATATACATAATAGCACTGTTCTAGAATATGCATTTTTCCAGGTAACACCTTAATGATTGTATTAAAATTATATTCACGTTTCTTCTGTTAGCTTTTAACGTGTCTGCAGTTGAGTTGTTGAATCGAGCCTTTCTACAGCGATTCATTATCTTTGGTCTGTTGCAGTACAATGTGCTAGATGGAAGCACTCAGACCTCGATTCTGTAAGGCATTGAACGTGATTCCAGGTGCAAACTTGGGCATGAAGTTGGAAGCATTGATGAGTATCTTCTTCCCCAAATAAGGTCTTCTGTTCCAACCTCATGAAAAGCTTCCCTAAAGAGGAAACGCTGCAGCAGCTTAAAGCACTGACATCATCTCTGAGAAGAGCTAGGAAGTTCTCACTGTGCTTTGGCCAGAAATAAACACCTGAAAGCACAGCATGTAGTAGTGAAGTGAGCATAAGATACTTGGTCCTGTGACTGTATCTTACCATCTTCTGATAGCAGTATAACTTTAGGTGAAATTTGGGAACGTTGAGTCAGTCGTGCACCCTGCGGCGTGGGTTCTGGCACGCTCAGAGCAGCACAGACCTGTCTGTAGGCATGCTCATTTTCCTCTCTAACGGAAAGGTGTTTGCTTGTGTGTGATGGTGACTTTTCCAGGCAACCCAAAGAGTAGTTGTGAAGTCGCTAGGTTTCATAGGCAAACAGAGCGTCTCAGTGCAATTCAGCAACATGTGAAATTAGGTTCGTAGAGCAGTGGGACTTTGGATTTTTTTTTTTTCATTAGTTGCGTTTTTTCTCAGGTTGCACCCGACCAAATGAAGTTTTTCCTCCCTGATGTTGTGTTGCTGTTCCTGTTTGAGCCCCGTAATTGTTAATGTGTCAAACACGATGGTTGATTCCTGCATTTGTCGCAGAAAGCTGCTTTGATGGGCTTTCTATGGATGTGTCTTTAGTAGGCCTGGACTTGTCCCCATGTTTCTCTTCCACTTTCATTGCTTTCTGTATAGAAGGTGGTGTGAAGGGGGACAGTGTCGTAGGGCTAATTAAAGCATTGGCAAACTTCTCGTTGTTATGAGACTGCAGCCACCTCATGGCTTTCTTTTTTGTGATTATTTCCCCCCCACCCCCTCCTTAAATTACTTTGAAAATAGCGTAGTGGGAGAGAAGCAAATAGTAGGTTTGAAGGTGAGATGATATATCACAGTGTGCTTTAAACTGTCAAGAGCCTTTCAGTTCCTGCACAGCTGTGACACTGTTAAATGTCTGCAAATGTCTTCAAGTGGAGAAAACATTTCATTGCAATCTTTTCGCCTCACTAGGAATTCCTAAGATTTTTGAGAATATTAGTTTTGGAAGATCATATCCCACTATATTTTTATAGCAAGCACAACAGCATTGGCTTATCCTTGCTTGACCAGGTATTTAAAATAAGCAAAACCCAGAATATCCCATAGTAAATGACACATTAAAACTATGTTGGTAATTGCGGGAAAGCTCATCTGTATTTATAAAATAAAACTGATTAGTATCTCTCAACTTGTGTGTCTTCTCTTAATGGCTCCTTTGTGTTTGTTTTCTTTACAAGTCTGATTTGAACCACAATGTCCTCCCCAGCCCCCCTCAACCTCTTTGGCTTATTGTTCATCAAGCCCATATTGATCAAAATGTCAATATTTGGGCAAGAGAGTTTGCTAGAAGACCTGACCGCCGCCTTTGCTCCAAATCCTATTTCACACAAGATGGTACTGCGGTTCTTTTTCATGCTCCTGCCAAAAAGATGGCACACAGCTGGAAAAACAACGTACGGTAGGGCTGGGAGACAGCTGGATTTGCAAAACTTTTATGGATAGTGGAAAGGCTGTGTTCCCTCATCAGGGAGGCGTTGCTACTCATCCAGTACCTTCTCTGATCCGAGCTAATAAGCAACATATGTCTGTCTAAAAAGCTTATGTTCCCTTTGAACAGGAGTCTGCTGCAACGAGGCCGTCCACGACACAGAGTCGCTGGTGGGAAGCGGCGTAACCTGAAGAGCGACGGGACTCCGGGCATCATCAGCGCAACAGGTCTTTTGGTTGGTTGGTTGTTTGTTTTACTTTTTTTCTTTTCTCCCACCCAATCTGTCTGTCAGCAGAGAGTAAAATGCCAAGACACCAACTGTATAGTCCTGGAGCTGAAGTGGGAAGATACAGGAGAGAAATTGTACGGTTTAAGCTGTTTTGCAACATTGAACAGCTCTATTGAAATGTAGTTGCATTAAAGTAAGTAATAAAGTATGAATGGAAAAGGGGTTTTTTTGAAATGTAACAAGGTGCTGCTTGAGATCAGACTTGTTCTAGATAGATAAACCTTGGGCTCTTCTCTGCCTCAATTTGGCACCTTTCAAACAGCCGAAGAAGGTGTTTCTCCTGGGTTTCTGGGTTTTGACCTTTTTCAGGTGTGAGTGTTTGCAGATGCTCTATGTCCTCCGAATTGGCCTGGTTTTGCTGGTGGTTTTGGGCAGCCATGAGCATGTCTTGTCTGCAGGCATGGTCATCTTAACCCCGGGTGAAAAAAGGACTGTAATTTACTAGGGGAAAAAAAATCCGTAGTTAAGACATCTTTTAATTGCTGGTTATTTTGATACCAGCTTATTTTGTATATGGCAGAATGCAACATTGTTTTACAATTTTTCATTAAATCATATGAAAACTTTTTTTCTACTAAATAATTGATTGTCAGACGTCAGCTCTGCTGCTGCTGAAATTTGTCCTATATTTATTGCATTGACTAGCTTGACATCTAATCTGTTGGGACTCCTCAATCTAACTTTGAGGTTACTTTTAATAGGTTGTTTTGATAAAACCACCCTTGAATTTCTGAATTTCTGACTTGTACAACTCATATCCATTCTGGTCTGGATTGTCTCTGCATTCCAGGGACAAAAAGTCCCTTTCTGTGTTGCACTGAACGTAACCCGTGTTTTCTGCTGCTCCTCGAAGCCCGGACAACCAGCCAGCTCTTGCAGGATTGGGGGGCAGCAGCCCTCAGCTTGATGCTGAGTGCCTCTATTGATTACCCGTGGTACCCAAAATGAGTTCAGGCTGTTTATTTAGGCAAAACTAAATGTAGTTTCCTTGGCTGGGCAGAGGTGAGATGGGGAATAAATCTAACGCTTGCTCTAATTATTCATTTTTTGGCTTTTTGACAGCAACGCTCTGGCTTTCCATCATGTCCACCTGCCAGTGGTGGTACACGGTCTGCGTGCCAGTGCCAGAAGCATCATGTCATTGCAGCAACTGGCCCCCAGCTCCTGCAAGGTACCTGTCAGAAGGGATTTATGCTGTTAAGTTGCGTGCAGGCAGTGCCAGCAGGACCTTCGTCCTGGTTTTGTAGAGGGATAACGCCCTTCGGCAAATATCACTGACTGCAGCTAATGCCTTTTGGTGATGGTGCTTGAAACGTGAGCTGAGCCTAAATGGCTCGAGTCAATCTCGTCAGCTGCCTGACACGACGTGTTTCTCATCTCTCTGTTAAAAAAGCGTTTGCGGACCATGTTATATGGTCACATCTCACGTGTTAAACCGAAATCATGGATAACTCCTAATGGGAAACTCCTGAAGTGCTGTAGCACGTTAATGATGGTATAAACAGCTCTAGAAACAGAACTGTTCCAGCTGCCTAAAAATTTCATATAAAATCCTTGTATTTTTTTTAAATAGCGTAATAAGGTAGTTCAGTCAATTAAAGCTGCATGTACATGAAAAGCTGTTAAGCTTGAAGGTGCAGTCAGTGCAGGTGGAAAACCTGCCAGCCCAGCTGTCGGGTTTCTGCCAAGCATGTTGGCCTGGGCGCGGCAGCTGCACACCACGGGCAGAAGAAATCCAGCCGTTGAGAAGCTTCTCTCATCATCTTT